AATCTATAACACAATGACATGTCTTGAAGGCGTCCTTTGATTATCTCGTGTCTTTTTCCCAGGAAGTGTCATTGTCATGAATTTGTGCCGACGGAACTTTCTACTTTCAACGCTATCCTTTCCAACCCACACCAAGTATAACGCGTCTCTTGTTGCATACGTACAAATATTTACCGGTGTCTCTTTAGGTGGTAAAATCCTAAATTTCAAACAGCTCAAATAAATTCGTCTTGCCGTCTCCAGCTAGGCGCGTCGCCTTGGACAACAGACTCTTGGAAAAAACCTTTATTCTTAATCTGCCATGCGCAGAGCCAACAGGTGTTTAGAAGGTTTTCCCCTGTACGTTTGTTAAAACGCCAGAAATAAGTTGTTTTTTTTTCTCTTAACCAATCATGTGGTAGCATCGTGCTTAGTACCTGCTAACGTTGTGGCATTCCCAGTTTACAAGACGAGAATCTGCCTTCACCCGAGTTTGCAGTTGTTTTTAATTGTACCCTGTTTCAGCAATTTGCCAACGCACCAGTGAATTAATGACTCTAGGCTCAATATTTACAAGGAAAGTTGAAGCTTCCTTCAACCTGTGTCATGTATTAGAAGTGTAGGACTGGCATAGTCTAAACCCGAGGTTTTAAGTATTTTTTTGGTCGAGCTGGTGACAACGAATTCACCTTTTCAAATAACTACAGTGGTTTGTGCTTTTTTTTCCATGTCCGTACAGCACCACAGTCGGGTTGCTTTAAAAACTAACATTCTTACTTTAAGTGAATGGCAATCTTCCAAACAAACGTTACGAAACTACCAACATCTCTTAGAATTTTTTTGTATGTATTTGAAAATAGCAAGAAAACACAATTGAAAAAAAAAACTTCCGCATATTTCTCTCGTTTTCTCCCACTGGTTGTGACTCAGAAAAGACTGAAGAAGAGAAATGTCGTATTGTATTACGTGACAACGGTTAATACTTAAACAATTTTGACCGCTTTAGTGCTTTGCATTCTGTCGACCTCTGGAGACGGACCATAGTAGGCTGTCATCGGTTAAACTCATGCAGACTGGTCAACAGATGATTGGTGCATAGGGACGTACAATTTATCGACAGTATTGTATTTTAGTAAAATCCAACTAGTGGTCTATTATCAATGCTGCATTCTGATTGGTTGAGCCACTACTAGGTTATATGTTATAGCCCACTAGTAGCGAAAAGCGCCTGCTTTTTGGCGGCAAAAAATGATTTAACTCTAGCTTTAACTAGCTAAAGTTGTTTTGTCTCGATATTTTTGACCAACTAGTTGGATTTTACTAAAACAATTATTCCTCTCGCCCTCATTGGCTATTGACTCAGAGCCCATTCGGGGTCGAGGAATAATTGTCAAATAGATTCCATACGATCGCAAATAAAGTCGCCCTTATACACCACGTACCTCGGGAGTTTATGGTGATCAGCCGCTGGATAAAACTTCTTAGTCAAAGGAATTTGATTGACTTGAAGCAAATGATCCATGTGATCAGTACCAGCTGTTTCATTTATTAAATAACTAACAACCTGTTATAAGATTATAACTTCTAACCAAGTATGTTTAGCTAAAGTTACAGGAAATAATCCGCCGTTAGTTTCGTCTCGACAGCCAGCTACTACTTATCCTGTGAAGCAGAGAGAACTTCTTTTTACAACACCTTCTGAAAGGTTTGAGTTGCAGTCATGTTATCAATGAATGTTTATTTTATTCAAGTGATTCCGCGGTGATCAGTCGAAGACAACAAACACCAAACTCAGTGAGTCGTCTACAGAAGCTAAACAGTATTTTGATCCAGCATCTTTGATTCAGATCTTCAGTGGGAATCCCGAGTCTACCAGACAAACTCAGTTTCACAATCCATATCAACAGAAATTGGGATTATGCTCCGTAGAAACGACTATTTTGACAACAAGAGTTTTCTTTCTGGAATGAAAATCAAATAAAGTAATTAGTTTCGAAATATAGCAATACTTGAGCTTAACTCATACAATCTTTGGCCAATAATTTCACAACAGGAGGTTGGTACTCTTAGCTCTTGTACTGGTATGGTGGAAACAAAACAGAACCACGAAGCGAAGATCAAAGACGATAGCAAAGAAACAGAAATACCAAGAATCCAGGAAAATGATAAATCATGGGACAAGCACTCGGCTTCATATGAAGATAAACTTGCTTCAACATTTGCAACCTTTTGGAATATATGCAACACCATTCAGGGGTTACCGATATTGGTGATCCCTTATGCTGTTAGAAATGGGGGCTATTTAGCAATATTAACATTATTACTCGTTGCTGTTGCATCAAATTACACTGGAAAGACTATTGTTCGTTGTCTTTACGAAAAGGATTCCGAGAGTGGCAAACAAAAAAGGGTCCGCAATTCGTACGCAGATGTTGGGAACGCCTTTCTTCCAAAAGTTGGAGGTCATCTTGTCCTCGGCACACAGTTTCTAGAGTTACTATTCGTTGCCTCTGTCTATCCCTTATTAGTTGGTAGATTACTAGCAAAGTCGTTTCCACACATTGCCCTTCCCTGTTGGCTTTGGACGCTAATAGGTGGAGTTGTTTTTGTGCCAAACATTTTTCTTAAAAATCTCTCTCAAGTGGCCTGGACAAGTATTTTAACGGTACTGTCAGCGAAACTCATTTTTATCACAGTTTTCGCCTACAGCTTATCAAAGTTTCACAAATGGGAGATTAGTTTCTTGGATCATTTTGACGCCAGCACATACCCATCTGCTTTAGGAATACTGGTAGCAAGCTACTTATCACAACCATTTGTACCTCTCATCGAAGGGAGCATGCGTCATAAAGAGAAATTCGATTCGCTTATGAATTTTTCATACGGGATAATGACCCTTCTCAATGTAATAATTGGCGTGGTCGCTTATATCTCATTTCACCCCAACACAGCCGAAGTTATCACCAATAATCTGCCAGAAGGTTCTTTTCGGCGTGCTGTAAACGTTATGGCGGCCGTGTTATCCTTCACATCATACACGCTGCCAATGTTCACAATTTTTGAAATCGTGGAAAACTCTAACCTCCCTTGCCTACCGATGGATTTTGGTAAATCTGTGTTAAGTCCATCCGTCATTGTTTTTCGCTTGTGGATGGTAACTGTCAGTGTTTTATTTGCGGCTACTTTTCCCGCCTACACTTATCTGCTAGCTTTTGTCGGTAGCATCGCAGGAATTAGTTTGGAGTTTATTTTCCCTGCTTTGTTTCATCTTAAAATCTACTCGCGAGACATGTCATGGTGTAATATTTTGGTTGATACTTTTGTATTTATAGTAGGCATAACTGTGTCACTGACTGGAGCTTTCTTTTCCGGCCGGTCAATGATCCACACCTACAGTCAACCAATAGTTAATCGTTGTGCATAGTAGATGTATAAATCTATAAGAGATTATGTCGTATTCACACCAGCTAAACAAGTTTAATTAAACTGGGTTTAAAAAGAACAGTAATGAAGAACCTGAACACAAGCCTCAACACAGAATTCACTGAATTAATTCAAAGTAATGATGTTACATAACTTCACCGACAACATACTTTCCATCAATAAAAGTACGTGCAGTTAGCAGCTTTTTAAACAAAAACAAACTGTGTTTCACTAAATAGCTTTCAGGGTTAACGTGTTACTGGTGTAAACGGGGCTTAAGGCACTCATAGATCCTAAATTTACAAGCACGATACAGCAGTCAGTTTAGTAATTCAACTGAAGACGAGTGAAATCGTCTGCGATGGATGTGATTCATAAAGAACAAGAATCGCCGAAAGGCGAATTTAACTGGGCTGCCAAGGGGCGATTTTTCTGAGCGGAGGGGGCGGTTGCACACACTCAGGCTACCACAAAACCTTGTCACCGACCATTGCTTGACATATTGTGAGAGTAAAGCAAAAACTCATTTGAACATTGTAGCCTTTTGGAACACTTGCGTAACAAGAACAATAAGTACTATTTTCAGTTCGGGGCTGTATATTAACTTTTAAATTCCACCATTATGAATATAAATAAGCAAGTCAGCCATTTGATTTGCATGATTTACACGCACCCCTTCCCTCAATCCCTCTGACTAACTTGACCTATCCGGAAATTCCGTTGTAATTAGCCATGAAACGCAACAGAGTCAGCTATACTGTTAGCAAGCAGTACATTTCGCAATTCTGGTTCTAAAAACTAACAATTTATGTTTCTGGGGAACTGAGGTCGCTTTTACTTTTTCGAGCTCGCTCAACAACCTGTACCAAGGGCACCCAACGACAATTTTCGGGAAAATATCTGTTCGGAAGACGATTTGAGATCTAGAATTTTCGGAACATTTGTTGCAAAATTTCTTGCTTGCCTGTCTCTCCAAGGATTTTCGAACATCTAAAAATGATAAAATTAGCTATTTTCAACAGATTTTACCCTAAAAGGGTCACCTAGAATTTTCGGGAGCCATTTTTTTCGGCTGAAGTTTTCGAAAAGGTAAGTTTTGATCCCTATAATTTTCGAATCACTAGGGGTGCGTTCTAAATCCGGATTTCCCAATCGAACGCGAAATCCAAAAACGGATTTCACCTCCGAGAAATCCGTCCTCGAGGTGGATTTATTCTTAAAATACAGCGTCAGTTTTACAATTTTCTAATTAACATTAAGTAACTACGCTGCGCAGGTTTTTTCAATCTTTATTACATAGGCTCCAGGTTTGCCGCGCGATCGCCTGGGTTTCACGCTGCTGACCCTTGAGGGTTATTCAGCTCTGTCAAATACATTCCCCCTCTAAGTCAGCCTCCTCCTCAGGCGCTTCGTTTTTCGCATGGCAGAGGCGAGCGCGAAACGAGTGACTGGTGATGAACCGCAAGAGACCATGGGAAGGGTACAGACGCCCGTTGTCTCCTTCCCGCCTTCCTTTGCGCGCACATTTTCATCAAAAGAGAGACGTCTGGGTACGAGGCAGCCTCTAAGTACTGATAGGACCACAGAGACCGAAAAAAATGGCTTATCGGAACATAAGGAAAGAGTGGAGAAGTCTTGGCTCGCCTCTTTCTTGGCGACTAATCTGCAAGAAAAGTTATGCAGCTTTCTCTAATGATGATTTAGAGAAACTTAATGGGTTAACTCTTCACTCCGTGAAGGTAACCCACTGGTGTCCACCTCCTGGCATCCCCTTATCTGTTGTGCGTATGCTGGTCAGTAAGGTATGAAGCTTAAATAAGTTTCTCTAAGTCAGTATTTGCACTTCATTCGTTCTTTGTTGTCGAACATACGACATTATTTTTTTCGTCGTTTAGAACTCGTCATTTTGCTCGCACACTCCCCTATAAAGCTTCGGTCCCCTGAAAGTAACGAAAGCCGCTATTTTTGCCACAAACATAACAATTCAGGAACCTGCTGGCGCTGGGTGAGGACAAAACATGGACCCCCACTTTGGACCAGGTCCATGGACCACTTTCATGGCCCGGGTCCATGGACAGTTTTTTTTAATAATGAGAAATGAACAAAAACAGAAATAGTGCAAAAATAAGGTTAAAAAACAACAACAACAACAACAAACAATGCTCGATTGATCAGTAATGTTTAATTGTGCTTACATAGTGTAAAAAAAGGGGGGGGGGGGGTTCGGTACCTCATGCCAAAATGATGCTTGTTCCAATGAATTGTTTTCTCTGATGGGTGAGCAAATGTGAATTTTTGCCGCTTATTTCACGCTGAGAGGTCATGACACCCATATTGATTTTCTACCTCGTTTAAATGTAAAGCTGTTTATTGCAGCTGATTAAAAGGGTTTTAGGTTGTTTAATTTCTCCAAAGTGCATCCTGGATCTGAATAATTCTAAGCCACTTTCTTTTTGTCCATGAATGTCACTTTTTCCTGCAATGTTTTGTCATGCTGGGCCCAGCTCCTTAGCGCTTTTAGCAGGACGATTATAAATTCTCACAGATAGTGATTTACAGATCCAGATCAAGAAGAAGAAGAGGTGGTATGGATTGTAGCTTAAACTGAAGCTACATCAACTATGGAGAATTGCGATGTGACTCAGTCATGATTGTTCTAAAAGCAATGAATTCTTAACTCCAGCTTGTTTTTCTAAGGGTGATGTGAGTCTTTGTGCTGGAGCGTGTAATTCCTCCCATGGTGATAACTTTTGAAGTAACTTAATTTAACAGTCTTGCGACTGCACATGTGCAAGCGGAGTGTATGTCATGTAAGCACAACTAAATATTTGTGATCAATCGTGAGCATTGGTCGACAGCGTCTCGTCAAATCTTTTTTTGGCACTATTTCTGTTTTTGAGTGTCCATTGACCTGATGCAAAACCTTCTTATAAAAATAAAAAAACTGTCCATGGACCTGGTCCATGACAGAGGGTCCATGGACCCGGTCCATGAAAGTGGTCGATGGACCCGGTCCAAAGAGGGGGTCCATGGACCCCTGGGCCATGTTTTGTCCTCACCCGCTGGCGCTGGCGTCAGTCCACTGGTAAGACCAGAGTTCTGCATTTCAGGGTTAAAAATACACCGTTAAAAGACAAAAAATGGAAAGAGAAAGTTCAAAAGAATGCTCAGTGTTCTTTTTGTGGAGAAAGGGGCTGAGCTTTTAATCAAGAGAATTCAACCTTGTTTTCTTCACGGTGGAGCGCATTTTCAAAACAGACCAATCCATGCGTCACTGCTTCGGTTGAATTATTCAACCAAGGAAGCGATGTTTTTGCTGAGTTTTCAGGTACATTTTGAACTCTATGGTCAAGAAAATTATGCTTTTGAAAGGGAATTTATGTAATTATAAATGTTTTATAGACGCTTTAATTAGTACATTTTTTGTTCGGTGATTACAAAATGCGCCCCGATTTTGAGATCGATTTTGTGCTGAATTTTGCCATGTGCTCTGCCGATTTTACTTGCATTGATGGATACACGATCCAGATAATCTTATCCTAATTGCTTTAAAGGACTATCTTTTTGGATTTTGAAAAAAAGCCTTTCAAGTTACGGCTTCTCTGGCTATTGTTTTGAGTTTGTTCATTCATAAAATTAGCTTGAAACACGATAGTGATACTTCAGCATCCAAGCTCTCATTGCACACATCAGTATAAAATAATTTTGCGAAGGTGTCAGCAAATTTTATACAAATTTTACTTTAAGGTTCAGTTTTTAGACACTCCTTGATACGCAACTAATGAATTTTATTCAAAAATATGTTTTGCTGTTTATTCTAGACTTTTAATATGAGAATTTTAAAAGCCTATTTGCAGTATAACAATATTTTAGATAGATAGATTGATGCTTGTTTATTTTACCCAATTGCAGCATTAACTGAATTGCTGGGTAGGCTAGCAATAAGATACAATTACACAATATGTTGATATTTGACAGTGACAAAATCATTTAGTCTACTTCTGTTTCCTTACTTCAAATGCTTTTTCTGTAGCTCAGATGCAATTCGAAGTCATACCTAGTGATTTTTCAAAGTCGTGTTGCAGAAAGTAGTATAAAATAATGTGATCAACAATGACTAAAGAAGTAAAAATCGTGAAGCAGTGATTCAAAACCTTTTCAATAATCCTTTAACCTTGTCAAAGATTAGCGGCTGTTTTGTTAAAATCGCTTTTTAGATCAATCATTGTTTCGATTCTCCTATCGAACCTTGTCAGTTGCCGAGTCCTCTACTTTGTGTTTAGTTGCGACTGAGTGCACAAGTAGTTCTAAACAGATCAGTGAAACACATGTAAAACCCAGAGCCCTTCAAAGTAATGCCGGAATTCTCCTTCAAAGTGCAGGGAATATATGCTAACCCAATATTCTCGACATCCACATCCACATCAAGCACTGCGATGTTCATTTTGCACCTGCTGAAGAATACTGATCATATGTCCCATATGCTGTGATAATCTAGCTTGAAACGAGGTGTGCCATGGGATACTTAATCGTTGTCTGGTAACAAACCAAAACTTTTTTCATGCACTATAATGATCTCCTTTCATGCGCCTTGTCAGATCTGGATTTTGTCCTCAGCTTGCACCAGCCATCCTCATCATTAAAAACAATAAACCTTGGATGAATCTTATGTAAAAAGTGGATGTTGGCAACGACAGTGAATGAAAATGAAACAAAATAGCAAGTTTTTTCTTATCACTGTAAAGCACATTTTATAAATTTGCTCAAACGTTCCCTGAAAAAGCCACCGACTTTGAAACTCCTTACTTGCCTGTTTTGTCCACAAAAAATTTCAACATTGCAAAAACTTGTAGCACTGTTTTAACTGGCACCAAATCCCAGCACTAAATGCATGTGTACATTATCAGACTGGTGAAAATGCTTTCATTGCAGCAAAACAGGAACTTGCTCTTTTCTCTGACAGTGAAAATCGCTTACTTTCAGGATAATTGACTTAAAAAGCGAAGTAAAATTTTCATGCATATTTCCTTTCATGAAACTAGTGCTCGTTAAATAATTGAGTGTTCTGAGCTGACCTTTTCCAGATAAAAATATTGACAGCAGGAAAAAATAGTTAACCTGATCATGCTGCCCATGGTCAGGTCAATGATTGTTTAAAAACATATTTATTTTGTTCTACTAGTCATAAGAAAGTACTTAAAAGGGCAAAATGTTCTTTATGCTGACAGTCTCTCAAATTATCTTGTTGGCGTCCGCAGATATAAAACTGTTTTGTGGTTATATGGAGATGGGGAAATAGTGCCTTTTTTATAGATGAGGCTACTGTAATACTTTGTGCTGTTGGAGTGAGTGATTCAATGCACTCTAAGTACATTGTCTACATGTTTGATATTTTGTTATTTTGGAAATATTTTAATTGTGAGGCTTTTAAATAACTCCTTATGCAGCACAAAATGCTCAGCTTAACAGATTTAGTTAACCCATTCGCCCCTGAACCACCGGTAACTGCCGTGTATGACAGCCCCTAAATTCCCTGAACAGCCCGTAAAAATGGCCGCTGGAGTCAGTCCATTCGCCTCTCCGCCCTGGTATTTTTTTGTCTTTTGTTTTTACAGAGAGATTGATAGATTATAAACCAATCATTTGCTATCTTTTGTGCATTTTTCGACAGATGATGAGAAGCACTACAGGGTCGATTTTTTCGAGCAGCTCGAATAAAAGAAATTTGCTAGAGTAATGGCTGGCTGTGTCGATTATGAATAAAAGTTCGCATCATGTTTGAGAGAATATAGTGATAATTTGACTTTTGATCACTTCAGATTGTTGAACAGACCTTGTGAAAAACCTTTTGATTGAGAGTTTAACTATGTAAAGACTGAAAAAGACAATCCTAACCCTAAAATTGCCGAGTGCTTTGTGGGCAAACAAACCACATGGACTATCAATAAGGACTTACCTCTTTCTTTTCATTTACTTGCATCCAAGTTCCTCTTTGCAGCAAATGTTGTAAATGAACTGTTTCTTGAACTGCTGAAGGTGATGCTTTTGTGGTGTTAAAAGTTTGAGAAAAGTAACGGATTGTGTGCATTGATCGATTTGGATGACAGTCCCCATGAATTTACTTCACATTACGTGGAAGCTCTCGGCGAATAAACAGTACTACTCAGTTATTTACAGTTGCCAAATGATTCTTTTTTTTTTATGTTTATTTTTCTTTGTGTATAACTATTAACACCTATTGACTTGTGCATTGGTAGATAAAGAATAAAGTAAGTCTGGGATTTAACTTATTTGTGCTTTACTTTGTTGGTCTGACATGATCAGGGAGGCATTTGAGTTCAGGATATGAAATATCCTTCCCTAAAAGGTTGTGGATTTGCCACCTTCTCTTGCGAGTACATTTATTTTATTGTTAAAATCAAGAATCGAAAAAATATATCAAAGTGTGGGTAGCTGAAGTCCAGCATTCCCATGTTTTATTAAACTTTCCATGCTTGATGTGAAACTCCTCAGATCAATTTTTGTGAAGTGATCCTCACCAAAGTTTCACTACATTTTCCACGGTTGCTTCTCGACCTGACTGATCTGAAAGAGAACTTAATGAAACAAATATCAGTAAAATGAATACAAATGAAATGAAATAGAATGAATAAAATACAATGTTGTTGATGTTTTTTTCAGCTGTGTTTAGGAACGATGACTGAATGAAAGGAGTAAGTCTTCTCCATGTCGGACATCTTATGTTGTTTGCTCTCAGATTTCTAGCATCCTTTTAAACTATGGTAAATGTTTGTTACGCATGCGCATAATGTTTCTTTTGTGATAATTTGAGCAAGCTTACTGCTGTGGTAGTCTTTTCTTGTGTATGTGCATTAATATAGGCTACGTGGAACCTTTTGTTCCTAAGGAAATTCACAATGTTTTCCTCTTAAACTCCTGAGACATAAACAAAACAGTGTTGCTAATTCAGTTAAGAAAGGGAGAATAGGGGGCATTATAAAATTGTGTGCTTGGTTGTCGCACTGGAAATGTTACCATGACAACACAGCCCTATTTTGAAGCCTTTAGTGCTGAAAAAGTACCTGTTGTTGTGAATTTCATTTTTTTTTTTTTGCAATTTTGCAGGAGCATTGTTTGTTTTTGAGCAAAGGTACTAAGGAATGATTTTCACAGAGAGTTGACCTAAACAATGCTCCCCTGGCAGATCTCTTTTAACTGAATGTATATGTAACTGTCACTTTGTCATGTGGTTTGTGTGTGTTTAATGTAAGTAGAAATACAGTATTTATTTTCTGCTTTTGTTTTGTGTAGGGTCCATCTGTAGAAGTTAAGAAGCTGGTTCCCTCTCTTGTTCCATTTTTGAAGGCTGCTGCTGTTGATGGTTTTCAAGGCAGTGGACCCAAACACAAAGCATTTGAAGTGTTGGAGAAGGCTTTGCTAACTCTAACAAACCCCAGCAACGAACATGGATTGAGTTCGCAAGTTATGGAAGTGTTGGAGGACCAACTAATAAAACAGAAGGATGCAACAAAAGAAAACAAAACCAGAACTGAAGAAGTGGTAAATGTGGCAATTGTCGAGCACATCCTACAACACTTAACAGGTGGCTTTTTTATTTTGAATAAAGGTCATTCAAAAGTTAAGCAGCATCCGAAAAGACTTTATATACCTGACATGTTTGGATTGAGTGGTCTGGCCTTAGGTGAGTGAACCACAGTGTATGTTGCACATGATTTTACGTGACATTTAACAAATTTGCAAGTCTTAACTTAATATTCTTTCTGGTAAAGTCCTCGCGTTCATCGGCGCTAGCACTTTTGCTTTTAATAAATACACCTATAAACCATATATTTTCTGAAAGCTTAATGGTTCCAGATTGTTGCTTATTCCTTTTAAAAAATTAACATGATTCAGAAATGACAAACTTTCTGTGGAAGTGGTTGTCACTGTCTGTAAATTTAAGTCCATGCCAGCAAAAAGTAACTAAAAGAAGCCAATTAAGATTGCCTTTGCTTCTTAACATGTTTGACTAAAAAAACGTGTTTCAGATTTTTGTTAAGTGCATTTGTTCTTTTTTTTTTTAACAGTTGAAGTTAGGGATAGCAAATCATTACATTCACATTCATTATCATTACATTCACTCTCATTGAAGTCCTGTGGTTCTGTTTTGCTTACATTCTGGGCCATCTTGAACAAAAATAGAAGGTAGAGGGTCTGCCTATAGTTTTAAAATCACTTAGAAAAATTGCTTGTTACGGTGCCCTTGATAGATAGGCATTGTGTCAAAAGTTGCAATGCCCCCCCATAAGTTAATCTGTGGAGCAGCTGATAATCTCATTAAATGCGAACTGTTGGGAATGTTTCTACAATGCACCATTGTTTGTTCTTAGTTCTTATACAGGACAATATCCCAGATATGCTTGTTTCCCACCATCACTTTCATAAAGAAATTCCTAGCTCTTATAGTTTATTGTTATTACAATTCTACTTTGATAGGCCACAAAACTGCATGGTATGGAGAACTGGACATGTTGGCTTGTCCTTACAGTGACGGCCTTGCCCTTACAGGTACAGGTTTCATGTGTGTATTTGTATCTTTCCTAGTTTGTGGTAAAAGAAAAAGCTTTTACACAGTTCATACCTAGACAAAAGTAATGGGTGTCTGTAAAACGTGGACCGGATACCTGTGGATGGCGGATGGGAAAATGCAGATAGGAAAGTGCGGATAGAAAAATGCAGATAGAAAAAAAATTAAGAAGAACAAAAGGAGAAAATGTAGATGGCAAAAATAAACAAAAAAAGAAAGAACAGCAGCACATTCATGTACAGAACGCGGTGTCAATGCAGTCTCGTACCCAGTCACCAGTTATGTGTTTTTGGGGTGAGAGAAGTTTGGGTCTTCTCTCAATTACATCAGTCTTATAAGCCCGGTGGCTTCTTTTGGGCTTCCTCGCCATGAGAGTTTAAGTAATTAGATTTTATTTGATTTGTACAATTTTCGGCAAACAAAACAATAAACAATAAACAATAAACAGTCTGCCTCCGACGACGCTTTTTTGCCGTTTTTCGTTCCTTTTCCTCCCTTCATATTGTGATTATGGTAGTAATTAAAAAGGAATTCACCCGTTGTTATGGTTATTCGAATATAGGGAAAAGGAGCATAACAAAAAATTGCCAAAGTAGAACCTGACGGGGACTAGCACAGTTCACACTGACAAACAAGTTCTTTACAGTTCAAGCTTCAGTTACAACTTTTTATAGTCTAAGCTATTTCTTGACATTTGCCGGCGTGCAACAAGATATATAACTAACGAGTGTGGAACATATGGGTAAGAAGTGTGTTGCGATAAAAAACTGGAGACAAGCAAAAATATGGCGGGAAAAGTATCTGCCCATGTGATATATAAACAATAAAACAAAGATCGGCGCCAAGACTGAACTACGTAGTTACAACAGCAGTGTTATTACTTATAATAATAGATAAAGAGGTAAACTTACAAAAAACTTTGGTAAAAATCTAGGTAAATAATTAACAAGAGTTTTCCCAGGGAAATATAGCCTAAGTGTGATACCAAAATCCAAACACTGTAATCAGAAACCAGTAAATACCAGTAATACTTGCTGTATCCTTAATTTGTGCTTACAAAACGATTAAAACTATTCAAATGGTCTGGAATGTACAGTGTCGCAGGCAAACAAAAATCCTAAAAAAACAATGAACCACAACTTTCAATTTAAAACAGGACATATTTCGATCGATCTACGATCATCTTCAGTTGCAAGTAGTACAGTATGTGATTTGAATTAACAATCCCATGCTGTATTACTTGCATGTGAAGACGATCGTAGAACCCCATCGTAGATCGATCAAACATGTCTTTCTATAAATTGAAAATTGATAGTTGTAGTTCACTTTTTAAGTTCAAACTTTTTTTAACTTCAAAATTTTTGTTCTTTAACAAAGTTAACAAGTCCTTTAAACACAAAGACATCGCCAAAATGAAAAAGAAAACCGTTAGTGTAACAGTACTTCACCTTTTGATCTCAAAAGGGCAAATCAGACTCACTCTCTGAACTTTCTTCCATGGCAGAGTCCACCAGCGTTACATGAATGTTAGCGTTGCGTTGATTTGTATTGTGAGGCTTTTCAAGACCAGGCTCCCTTTTTTAGGAAACAGGACGATTTACAAGGCGGGCGCGAAATAGGCCAAGGAACGCACTTTTTAATTTTTTGGTTTATTTTGTCTTATTTTCTCCAGTTTCTTTTTTTTTTATGGAAGTTTCGTCTTTCTTTCTTCAAATAACAAAAGTTGTCCCAACAACTTTACATACGTGCTTTGCTCCCCGATGATGGGTACCAAACTATTTTTTATTATAGACAAGAACATGCTTTAGAAACGCAATTTATATGTCCAAATTAGCGACATTTTTTTGTTGTTGTCATTGTCCGCCGCAATTTTTTCTCTTTTTTTTTTGTTTTCTATCCGCATTTTTCCTATCCGCATTTTTCTATCCGCTTTTTGCCATCGCATCCGCCATCCGCAGGTATCCGGTCCGCATTTTACAGACACCCCAAAAGTAATGCTTCACTATGTAAAATACCTTCAGCTAACTTGAAGAATCCATTGATATCTTTGGCTCTGTATCAATATTAAAGAGTTCTAATAATAAATTATTGCCCAACAATAACTTGTTAAGGTAATATTACCAACATATGTTTAGTAGCGATCCCAGGTCAGATACTGGCTCGTCAATGCAGTTGGAGTTTTTTAACTCCTTGTTTTGCACTGTGTACCCTGTACTGCGCATAATATTGCTACATCCAAGATGGCGGGTTCTTCCCGCTAGTGTGAAAAGAACAAACAAGGACCGCTTTTGCAAAGCTAAAGCTTTTATTCGTAATAATAATGCCGCAGATCGGCAGACAGCTTCCTGGTTTGCTATCGAAAAACGAAAAGTGTGCATGATCTCGAAGTTTGCAGTGGTTTTTCACTTTGCGGCCATCGAGTTCTGGAATTATTAAAATCTCCTGGCGGAGGCTTTGAATTATGGGGGTTCTGAAGCCTGTTGGACAGTTCTATGGATCTCCAACTGCATTGACGAGCCAGTATCTGGCCTGGGATCACTACTGTACATATGTTGTTCAAACTCCGAGAGTGGAGAGATAAACATTTCTGGAAAAGTATGATCCACATAGCACTAGAACCACGCGAGGGAGACCAATCTTGATTTAAACACGAAGGTTGCCGCTGAATTAACATTTTGCGGTGTATAGAAACCAAAGAAGGGAACATATGACGAATAGGAATCGATAGTCTTTTCTTCAAGTTTCTTCAGGGTTCGTACAGGTCATGAAAAACCTGGAAAGTCATGGAATTTTAGCATTTCATTTTCCAGGCCTGGAAAGTCATGGAATTTAATAGTCGATGGAAATTTAAGGTTTTGTTTGATAGATTAGTTACTACCCATGACAAGGCAAGGATAATGTAAGATAGAGAGAAGTGATTGAACAACGGAACGGCACGCTTTTTGGTGGACACCAGAGTTTGTGTCTGTTGAACTGTTTAAGGTCCATAAATACCCGAAAACAAGGAAAGTCCTAATTTTTTTTTGAAGTGATAGCTAAACCTAAGGTCTTGGAAAACTTAAATGGTCATGGAAAAAGTCATGGAAAGTCATGGAATTTGAAGTGCTAAGAAGAGTACGAATCCTGTTCTTTGTCAAGCATTATTGTGCAAAAGCAAAAAATCGAACCCTAGCTCCCAGAATTAAACAGAACGCCGGCGCTGAAAAATGGTTCAAAATAAAGATTCATAACTCCAAAATCTCATCAGATCTTGAGTTAACTGGTGGTATGCATCAACTCTTCCCTATATATAAGGTACCCCTGTATGGTATGTGCCCCTCACAAGAAAGCTTGTTAACTTTATGTAACACGCCATTAAATGCAAGTCACCCCTCAATTATTATTTGCCTCTAGTGCTCAATATGTGTTCAGTGCCAGAATATTCATGTTATTTGCCCCAGAAAGATTGTTACCAGCCTGTCTGCCTCTAAATAAAGCAATTAAGCTAAAAATGCTGTTGTGTAAATTTCCATTTTATTTTTTGAATATTTTCACACAATGCACCTTGCATAACTGGCGGTATGCGTAAACTCGTCCCTAGATTTAAGGTACCCCCATATGTAATGTAACCTTACCAATGCTAGTGGACAAGGCTGTCCACCTGACGTAATTGGTAAAAAGCCACCGACAATTTGGCGAGGTCCATGTTTATTGACCTGTTGCTATTCCTAATTGACTCCTCACCATTTAAAGGTAACTGCAACCCTTCACTGAACTGTACGGCGCCGTGCTGTTCTGCACTGCACTTGACTGTAGGTGCTTGCCATAAAGTTTGAGCGGACTTTTCGAAACGAATGGAATTTTCGCGGCTTTTGCTTGATTGCTTTGTAGATCGCAAATCAAAATACACCTTAATTGTTCAAAAGTGTAAATAAGCTAAACAAAGGTTGTACATTTACAAATATTAGTATGCATGGTGAAAAACCAAAGGAAATGTTACAAAACCCATTGACTCCTCCTGTGTGGTTCATTGGGCTTTATAGACCGTATTAACAAATGGCGGACGCGCGATAAAAACTGCTAATCATGAGAACGAGACGTTGTTGGATAAACAAACATTATAATCTCTCGCTGACAGCAGAGTTTCAGTCAACATACAGAGCGTTCAGAGCGGTGGTTTCTTCTATTAATAAGGTTTTCGTGGAGTTCTTTTAGAATTACAGGTTTCTTGGGATGTCGTCAAGGCCTAACGATAAACATAAATTTATTGTTGTCCCTCTTTGCAACCAAATGGGAACCGTAGATCCTCAAGAGAACAGAGTAGGATTCTTTACATTTCCAACGGATCAAAACATTCGCAATGCCTACAGAAAATCCGAAGAGGTGATGGCCCAAACTTTTCATTAACGAAAACTATCAAGGTCTGTTCGCTACATTTTCGTAGAGACGAAATAAAACAGCTCTCGGTGGGAAAAAAAGAAAGTTTTGCAACTTAGTCGCAAAACTCAGTTAACAGAGCGTGGCGGCCTCAATCAGCAACATGTAACGCAACGTTATGCTAGCCCTTGTCATATCTGCTAGAGTTTTACTGGTGGTATAGGTGAAATTACTGGGTGGGACGCAAGTTTACTTCCACAGTTGGGAAATTACAGATACACTAGCAATCCTTGTTTATGGTGCAGTTGGGGCTAGTTTCTAATGTATCGCTCTTTTTGAATGGCCAGTAAAAATAATTTCCCTCAAACATATCTCGTGGAGCACTTCAAGTGCACGTTCCATTCGGTAGTACAGCATTTATCATTGTCTTGCCCACTGTGAGTAGGTCGACTATAAAAAGCCTAGTTAAAATCCTGTCTCATTCTGAACTGTACTGCTAAGTTGTAATAGTTTAACCGTCCTAAAGTTTTGTAATTCCCACCCTTCCCTCCCTTTGGACGTGTTCCCCCCTTTACGCCAAAGTTTTTGTTGTCTTGTTTTTATTAGACTTTAATTTAAAGCCGAGCTAAAGGAACTGCGACATTAACGGAATTATTAAAATATTGAAGGACGCAGTTCCTTCAAAGTTTTTGCGTGGTGTAACCGCGAGTCTCCTCGGAAAAAAACATCCGCCATTGAACAGAAGTCAGTTCCCTGAGAAAAGCAAGGGAACTGGAGTATTTATCCTGTACTAGCACTATCACATTAGCATGATTAGACACCAGACATTCTTCAGCAGAGGATACAATTTCAAACTACTTCAATATGTACTAGGTTACAGGAATCGCACGATTAGTTAAAAATGCAGCTGTTACAACCTCAGAAGGAAATTGCTTGTTTAAGTGAAGAGTTGTCAAATGTAAAATCACGCTTAGCTACAGATGAAGCTGATCTGGTGAATTCAAAAGTGGAGATTAATCGTCGATCTCAGGAAAAACAACGACTGGACTGTAGAAACTGCTGGAAAATATTCGTTATTATCGTTCCGTTGAAAAAAAGGTAGACGAAAATATTTACGATGAGAAAAATAAACAAAAAGATTGTAACAGACGTGGGCGAAGAAGAACTCTTAAGCCGGAGGAAGAATTTGTTTTGGTGACCTGTCAACTGCGTCAGGGCTTTCATGAAAACCATTTGGCATTTTTATGGCATATTTACAGTCAGCCGACTGTGAGCAGAATTTTATCTCGTGGTTCAAGTTTATGTTTCTCCGTTTTGGCACTATTAGCATTTTTCCGAGCAGAGAGGAAGTTAACAAAACTATGCCTAAAGATTACAACGTGAAATGTCCAAACACTCGGGTGGGAGGGTCTGAATGGGTTTTAGGGTTTAGTGCTGTTTGCCCATAATTTTTAGTGTTTGTTGTTAAATTGGCCAATTTTTTAATGTCTACTGTTAAGTGTTTGGAGGATTCTTCGGACATCTTTGGCAATGGTCGGACCTCTACACTAGTCTTCGGAAATATTCAACCGTCTTCGAGAATCGTCGATAGCATTCGGAAATCGTCGGAAATAACCCGGAATTGTAAAATGGCCGAAAACTCCTTGATATACTAGACAAAATTTTTGGAGCCGTTTTGGCTTCTTTCTGGAGAAAATTTCCTTTTTAAAAGAATTTTTTATTGTTAGTGTTAAAATGCCTAAAATGTTTAACTGTTTCATGTTACAAAGCCAAAAAATGAAGTGCTTAGTGTTATCGAGGTACCCCTATTCAGACCCTCAGGTGATCCTTGACTGTACAGGTCAGAAATGATCAAATGTCAAATTGGATCGCGCTTACCGCTTTACAAGTTGAGCTTTTGTGCGTACTCCTTTCGCTGGATCATTTCTGCATTGAAACCAGGAACGTGGCTCTTCATTTCTTAGCTGTGCTGGATTTCTTCCAGCTAAAGATGACCCGGGAATGACGGAGATGTTAATGTAGTCATTTCCTCGATGACCTGTAATTCTTATTCTACAACGCCTCGTTTCCACGTTTGGCCGCCAACTCGCCCCAGGTCAGCCGCCATTTGTGAATACGGTGAATACAATCTGATGACATAACTAATATAATTTAACGTTCTATTGCAGGACATTTCAAATCTACCGTTGCGTTTTTATTTGAAAGTAAGTAGATTTTGCTCTTTGATAAGGTGGGTTATCAATGATTTTGTTGAGGCTGTGATGTGGATCAGTGTCCACTCAGGCCTTTCAGATAGATAATAGTAGTAACGGTAATAATGGCGTTTATTATTCATTCAAAATATTTCCCCGATCCTGATTGGCTAAAAGCACATGCATGCATAATTTACCATAACCAGCTACTGATGACCAAATTTGGAAGAATTTTGTGATTGATCAACATATGACGTCAAAAGTGCAGCCTTCTTGCAGGTTAATTCACCGTTAACCGAAGACTTGGGGACGAGGTCGAGTTATTAGGGTTCTGAAGACAAAAATGGCGGACATTTCACTCGTTTCAAGAGTAAGAAGTAGGCGAAATAATAGCTAAAAGCCTGGCAAGAACAGCAAGAAGACAACTCAAAGGGTGGCATCTGCTATTTGGAGAATATTTGCGGAGCTGAACAACTCTAATCGTGCACTATCGAAGATGAACTTAACATCGATGGAGGTAAGCATCTTTTAGCTATGTTTTACACTAGGAATTATTTTGAATGAATAATAAAACAATTATTGAATTCGGCTTTCGTATCATGTGAAGAATTATGGAGATCGAGGAGGGTGTTGTAGGCCTCGACGGATAACACCCTCCTCGATCTCAATAATTCTTCATAAGATACTTCATTCATTAGTTGTTAATTTTTGCACAAGATAAAATACATATCCCATGTTAGAAATAAAGCAAAATAGCACTAGAAAGTATAAAACTAGATAAAATAGGAATTTATATTAAAGAAGTCAATCCCAAAGCTAACCTATAATTATTTAAACCCAGTAAGGTTGAAAGCTTAAAGTTTGCACTGGGTCGTATAAAGATATCGACATTTGCATAATTTGTCAATATAAGGTAAATACGTAAAGTTTATTTCCAAGCAAATTGAACTAGCCAAGGCGGCTCATCGGTATCTTTCCTGCTCTGGTTTCCGTAGCATTAAAGGGACGGGTTCACGATACTGCGCAAAACTGATAGTAGTTGATTGTTTTAAACCAACCGGAAGCGAGTTAGATGTACGCGAGGAATTTACATAATTCAAACAGGGGCACCCAACGTCAATTTTCGGGTTTTCGGGAAAATATCTGTTCGGAAGACGATTCGAGATCTAGAATTTTCCGAAAATTTGTTGTTAACTTTCTTGCTGGGCTGCCTCTCCTAGGTTTTTTGAACACCTAAAAAATGGTATAATTGCCCATTTTTAACGGATTTTTACCCTAAAAAAGGTCACCTAGAATTTTCGGAAGCCTTTTTACTGGCTGCAATTTTCGAAAAGGTAAGTTTTGATCCCTATAATTTTCTGATCACTAGACTTTCAGCTAGGAAATCCGAACAGATGAAAAATTTTTAGGGGATAAAAATATACCCATATCTACCGTTTTAACACTAAAATACGTTTAACCATGCTTTGTTAAAATGGTTTTGAACTATATTCTCGTTGGGTGCCCCTGTTCAAATTCATTGTTCGCGACGCGGGAGTATTTCCGGGCATTTGGTTTAATTTTATACATCCCCATAATTCATATTATTCGTTTCTATTCCTCAGATATATGTTGCAGCCGATAAGAATAAGAATTACAGCCCTGTCCTGCTTTGAAACAAACATTTACCTACGTGTATTTACGTGTACATACGTACTCACGCATTCACGCTAACAAAGCAGTCACCGATCAGCAAAGAAAATTTGTTAGCAAAACTAGAATACCTGCAAATCGCGCCTCACCGGAGACAAAAACACACAAGGTAGGTAGGTAGGTAGGTAGGTAGATTATTTATTTAAAAACTCGGTAAAATCTTCAGTAATAATAGAGTAAAAATCTAATCACAATTAATTAGACTAAAAACTATCGACATACTGTTTTACAAGACTGCCGAGTGAGAGTCCGACGACTCAAATACATGTTTGATTTGCTCTTTAAATTTCCTGACTGATTTAGTTTCTCTCACATTTTCGGGTAAAGAGTTCCACAACAAAGCACCGCTGTAACTGAAACTTCGTTTCAAGTAGTTAGTACGCGGCCTGGGCAACGTCAATTTATGAAAGGAATTGCGCAAATCATAGTCTGTGCTTCGTTCGTGAAATAGGTTCTGCAAGTACACTGGAGCTTGTGCATTTAGAGATTTAAACATCATTATTGCTTTATGCTTCTTTCTCCTTATAACTAATTTGTCCCATTTGAGTATATCAAGAAGCAGGCTCGAGCTAGTCCCATAGTTGGCCTTTAAAATTACTCTAGCTGCACGGTTCTGTAACTTTTGTAATTTGTCACTCAGTTGATCACAAGGTATGATTTTAAAGATTGTCCTAACCTGAGCATAAATTTCAATCCCAGTGATTATCAGCAAGTGAACAAATTCATTTTCGTTGCCTCGGGTCAGTGTTCAGCAAAATAAAGGTTATTGAGTAGAGCACATACTACCGAAACAGGTAGACTGTTTTTCCGGAGACGTGCGAAAGAGTTTCCGTTAGCGACAAAGGTGATCGTTTTTGGTCTCGTGTCTAAAAAGATGTTAGCTCAAAAGGCAAACGCACCTGATAACATTCCTTCACATTTCCTTGCCCGCGCTTTGGCACTAGTCGTCGTTTATTCGCTTTCGTTTAGTAATAACATGATCCATATTTCTTTTCTTTTCTTTTCTTTTACTTTTGATTTTTATCAGCTATCGCCTACGCTTTTACCGCGGATATAAGACCTTCCTTGTTTGTTTATGGAAAAGCCCGCCATCGTTTGATTCTCAGCAATGTGAAGGAATGCAATCACGTGAGGTTACGTTTGATCACGGGGGCCTTTAATTCAAATGTTTCTCTTTAGCGGCAACTGTTTGGCGGTCTCCGAAAAAACAGTCTACTTGTTTCGGTATTAAAAAAACAGATTATAAACAGAATATTTAGGCAGTAATTTATTGTAAAAACATCAGTTTTTAAACATATACGATCATACAGCAAAGCTACAAGGAACAGTTCAAATGTACCAGATCCGGGTGAAGATCACGCAGCCTGTTGCGTACTTTTCGGTATAACTACAGGTCGAAGTCAAGTCACGGCGAGCATGCGCAGTATCGTGAACCCGTCCCTGTAACAACCAGAAGTATCGCTACTTCCCCTGGATGTGATGCTACAATGTAGTCCATTGTAGGGTTACCCCCCAGCATTTTGTTAGGTTTACCTAATGGTCGTTGGCAACCATTTTCCCGCCTGGGCTGAGTTGTTCAAAACCTGGTCAACGTTAAGACGGGGATAAGTTATATCTTTGATTGTAACCGTTGCTTTTGGCAGTTGCCTGCATGATGATTCCCTCGCAAGACAGGGGCAAGATGCATGACACTCTGAGTAGCAATAAATGTTTAAGATTTAATCCAGTTCCTTTCAGCCTACTTGTATTCTGCTCTAGTTCAACTATTGAGCACTATTGTAGTCACTATTGAGTCACTATTGTAGTCACTAATGTGAATATAATGTTTAGATGGTACGTGATCCTCCATTTTCTTTTGCAGAGTTTGACATGGACGACCAGGATAGCGAATGTAAGTATTGAATGAGAAAGAACACAATACACTTAAGAACTACCATTTGAGTAGTAGAGGAGGAACCGGTTACGCCGTTTCTTTGCGGATTTAATTAACTTTTTGTGCGGTATAAATTAACGCAGATGACGTCATGCATCTCATTAAGATAGGATGATGTCATTCTTTAAATTAATGCCGATGACGTCACGCATGCTATTAAGATAGGATGATGTCATTGTTTATTTGTAGCTGTCAAGGAGCAAGTGACGTCAGCATTTCCTAAAGTTGACGTCATCAAAAAATGTGGAGATCATAATCTATAAACAGAAAAGTGATTTTTATATAATTAGCTATTTGCTATAGTCTTCTGATTAGATATTGTTTGCTATAGTCTTCTGATTGGATATTGTAGAAACTGTTATGTGTTCAAAATAAAAGCGGGCAAATTTTGAACGTGTTATCTTTGCAGATTATACTAAATGAAAAATCTTTAATCATTAAATTATTTTCACTAAAAATCGGTTATAAACAAAACCAAGACACGGAGGTTAACTGAAAAATCTTTACTTCAAAAGAAGGGAAAAGGAGGTTAAGCGAATGCGAAATCGTACTAATTTTTCAGGCAAAACATGAAAACGAGGTCGCAGCTCAGCGAAGCGAAAAACTGCCTATCAAGCAAAAATGTCAATCTTTGTTTATTTGACTCTGTAAAAAGTATTGCACAGGGTATAAAAATTCTATAGAAAACAACAGGTGGTTCTAAAGTAAACCCTAACTCTTTTGGTTCTTGAATAAACTCCATTCTAGTAACGAATAAGTGGAACGTCTATTTAAAAAAAAGATAGGAATAAGAGGTGCGATCGCCTGGCAACACATGTCTTCTTATTTAGTGCTAAAAATCGGATACATAAACAAAACACACACACACATACCCAAAGTGGAGCTGAAAACTCTCTATTTCAATTTCGACTCACCAATACAAAAGCGTTTTCTCCGTTCCTTCTCGAGGAAACGACTAACTATTGAAGTCTCAGCCCTTGGGCTTGATGAGCTTATGGTCTTGCGCGCCGTTAGTCAGTTAATTATGCGAGGTCACAAGCCCAAAGTTGAATACAAATTAGTTGATCTCTACAGCTAGACCCAAGGGAGCACCTTGACGTATTATTATATAAACAATTTTACATAACTTAACAAAGATCAATTTGAACACGCGACTAATAATTGCTAGCAATGAAACCACAAGAGAGATACCGTTTTAAAAACTTTATTAAAAGTCAATAACAAAAAGAGTCAAATACACAGCGATTTGAAAGGAAAAGGAATGAAAATTAATCCTTTGACTGACTATTACAAATCAGTTTTTTTCCGTTCTATTTCGAGGAATAATAAATAATCCTTCCGTGTCTACACAATTTTCCTATTGCCTCGAAGCGAAGAGTTCGACTTTCTTTGTTTCTTGCGCTTTGTCTTGTTCTTTGTAGTCGGTCTTTTAGCTTTTGCTACAAAAGAAGCTTCATTTCTCTGTGATCTTGACAGTTCGCAGTACACCGTTTCTTGTGTCTGTACTGGATTGCGATGGTGATTTTTTCCGGAATTATCCGCTTCACTTTCGTAAACGACGACTTTGACTTTAGGTTGCAGTTTCGCCTCTTGTAAATACTGTCTTCGCTGTATGTGGTCTAACTGATGAACATCCGCGAGATGGTTAGCTAATCTGACAAGGTACTTCGCCCCACACGATGAAATAGGACAGTTTCTGCAAACTCTCTTGTAAACCATGTTGACAGTTCGATTGCTGAACACAAATGACATCTTTTTTCGCAAATAGTCAGGTTATACAGAGTGTCAGAAAGGCCATAGTTGGTGTAGTTGCTGTAGTTGGTGTAGTTAATGTAGTTGCTGTAGTTGCTGTAGTTGATGTAGTTACTGTAGCTGCTGTAGTTGGTCTAGTAGCTGTAGTTGGTGTAGTAGCTGTAGTTGGTGTGGTTAGTGTAGTTGCTGTAGTTGGGACACTAACTACACCAACTATATATGCAAACTACAGCAACTACACATACTACACTAACTACATATACTACACCAACTACACAAAGTACACCAACTACACAAAGTACACCAACTACACATACTACACCAACTACATATACTACACCAACTACACACACTACACCAACTACACCAACTACAGCAACTACACCAACTACATAACTACACCAAATACACATACTACACCAACTACACTAACTACACCAACTACACAAACTTCACCAACTACACATACTAAACCAAGTTCATATACTACACCAACTAGAGTAACTACACCAACTACATCAAGGCTCAAAATAACGGACAGCAGGTCGCCGGTCATGATGACCGGCCAAATATTTTTTAGCCCGGACAAACCCCGATTTTTGCCGGTCAAATTAATGAATATTATAATTATTTTTTTGCCCATGGAATATCGAATTACGCCGGCAGTAGATCGTTGTACGCCATTCCGGGACGGCATTGTCGTTCAGGTTTTTGCCGGCAAGTTGGTGAAAAATTCATTCACACGTTGTTGAGTTCCTTTGCGCGATTTTCGCCCGTTTTATGTCCGTTTATATATACCTTCAGTATCATCGTACGGTATCTGCATATCGGTGAAACTTGATCCTTTTCGTTGCCCGGCACGTGATCGAAAGTCTCCTCCACCAAAAAGAATTTCGTTGCTAAACATTTGCGGCAAAGAAGTTGATTTGGCAAGAAATTTGTTCCAAAAACAGGGTATTCGTCATCAGAAGTCAATAAATATACAGCAGGGCTTTCGTTTGGGTCGTCGCGCAACACTTTATCGCGAACGGCTTATCAAGAAGGAGGATTTTAAGCGCCGAGATAGGCGACCTTTCGTTCTCGATTAGCTTAGTTTTTATCAGACAATTCTGGAATCGAGTCTGCAAACGAGATCATGTTCGACATAAAGAAATTGTCATAATTAATCGATGCGCTGAAATTTATTCCCAGAGAAACATTACAGGACGAGCGATCGATTAGCCCCAATTTCGTCGAAGGTGATTTTCACAATCCTCTTACAAGTAGATGTGAAACGTTTGATGGACAAAAACTGTCACTCATCCTTTAGTTTTCTAAAAAATAACGGATTATTGTTAGCGTATGTTTTCCCAAAGAAGGTCGCATTACTGATCACAGCAAAGCAGAACGTTTTTCTTTGAAGGGTTTAGTGCAAAGCAGCAAAAAAAGCCAAAGAAAGCAGCGAATTAGAGCGTTATAGAGCAAAACGCATTAAGCGACAAGCATCCAAAAATGACCGGTCAAAATGACCGGCCAGACGAGAGTTTGACCGGTCAAGCCCACGATCAGGCCGGACATTGTCCGTTGACCGGCCGTTATTTTGAGCCCTGTACATATACTACACCAACTACACATACTACACCAACTACAGCTACTGCACCAACTACATATACTACACCAACTACACATACTACAAGAACTACATATACTACACCAACTACACATACTACACCAACTACATACACTACACCAACTACACTAACTACACAAACTACACCAACTAACATACTACACCAACTACGTATACTACACCAACTACACATACTACACACACTACACCAACTACATATACTACACCAACTACACTAACTACACCAAGTACACTAACTACACCAACTACATTTACTACACCAACTACACTAACTACACTAACTACGCTAAGTACACCAACTACAAATACTACACCAACTACACTAACTACACCAACTACATATACTACACCAACTACAGCAACTACACCAACTACAGCTACTACAGCTTAGTTATTCAGATCCAGAGGGCACTTTGGAGAAAATTGGAATCCATATTCAGCCGTAATAACAAAGCTTTACGCTTCAAAAGAGGTCAAAGAAAATGCGCTTGCATCAGAGGGCAAATCCTGCCGACCAGAAAACAATAACTACAGTCAATCGATATGTGTCATGACCTCTCAGTGTGAAACATGCGGCTAAAATCACATTTGCTTAGTATAAATGCAGAACCTTCCAGAGCATAATCTACCCAGCATATAAAAACAACTTTATTGGAATAAGCAGCATTTTGGCATGAGGTAAAAGTCGTGTAGGCCTACCACCCCCTTTTATTGCCTTCTTTCAGAGTGTCTCTTGATCTGTTTGCCTTTTAAGCTCGATTCAAGGTTTCCCTGATGCTAGCGAAGGCGAGAAAATCAAGTTGTAACGCGAACATAGGTGAATTTTGTTCTGTTATTTTTGTTTGTATGTTTGCTTTTTCATGGCGCCTTAAATTACTTGGATATATTTCGAATTCAGGCAAATGCGATTATAAAGTGCGTTAAGAGAGAAACTTTTTGGTGTACACGGCGTACAAGAAATGTTCTTTCGACTTTCGTTTAGTTATTTCAACAAATTAAGTTTCATGAATTGAAGTGTGGATCTTTCAACTTTGAGTCACATAAAAACCGCATGCAGCGTTCAAGTTATAATAAAATAATTATTGCTCGAGCCTTTCCCGGTAGCACTGCACTTTATTTTTTTTGAAGTAATGATTTAGAAAGCTATTAAAAGGAAACCTATATCCATCCGACTGCTTTCATTAGAGAGCTTAAGCAAAGTCAAACAAATTCAAGCAACTTTTGAACGAGCAAAACATTACTCTGCACGTTCACCATGCACCCTTTTCTGTCGGATTTTTTTCTGTCGCTGCATGACTAAAAATCTTCTTTTGTTTTATTAGTACAAATGAAATTATCCGATTACTGCCAGTATATCTACATCTACTTGGGTCAACTAACAGCTTATTCCGGTCTGTTGTTAACTGATGCTATATAATTATGCAACGCATGTCATAAAATGTACATGTATCGTTTGTTTTTTAACATTGTGTTTCATCAACCTGTAAGCCCGGAAATAACTCACTTCGCATATCGAACGCACTCTTTGATCTATGATTACTCCTAGTATTATTATTAATGGAGGGTTGCTCTGGCCTCTGGTCGCTCGTCTTCATAAAATGGTATGCTATGTTGCGATATACATCGAAATTCGTCTTCAAAATTACTGCAACCCGGAACAACGCAAATAGTGGGCATTCTTATGTGTATTTTTGCATGTAGCTTTGCCGTTACAGAGATAGCGGAAAATACAACTTCTCGATTTTACGTCACTAGTTCCATGCCCCTTATTAATTCATGCTCGGACTCGAACAAAAGTGGCGTCGTTTTTCACCCAATTTTACGTACTTCAACAGGGCACCAAAAATCGAGGTTTAACCAAATCAAAAAAAAATTGCGAAGACGTAATCCACATAACAAGAGTATTTAGCGCGTGAACTTGCTTAATACTGCGTGGCTTCATTACTTTTTAACTTGTATGTTAAGAGTTTTCAAAGATTCGTGATTGTGAATCGTGTGTAAAAAGGGTACATAATTAGTTATCGTACTTGAACAAAAAATCGGTATTTCATAGTTGGAAAATGATCTCTGTTTTCACCTTCCCACGTCCATGATAATGTTGATTTTGAACCATCCATTGTTGCTACATCTTTTTCAAACTCATTAATAATTCATTAAGAAAATACAAAGGAAATTAATGTTTAATGAGTGTTTGGAAATCGGATGAAATACTACTTAGTATTTGCATCCTTAATTTCTCCTTCAAAAATGATTTTGTTTTAGAAGAAATATCAAACATTCGACACAGTGTTTCATCACCAGATGAAACACCTCGAAGTTCGTCAAAAATACTCCGCTGCGCGTCGTTTTTTCAACTCTCTTCTCGGTGTTTTATCTGGTGATGAAACACTGCATCTCATGTTTGATATATTACTTCCAGCGTTGTTTTGGGGGGAAGGGGGAATCAGAAAAGTGAATCATGCCTGCCAGTGGGAACTGTTTACTTAGGTGTATCAAGGATTTACGTGTATGACCAAGATTGTAGCTTGACAGTCAAGTGCACATTTGCTATTAACAGAAAATTAATTTTTTTTTCTATTTTTTGTTAGATGAGGAGGAAGACGATTTTGAAGAAGGTATGTTACTGTACGTGGTCTGTGATACTCATTCATGTGTAAATATTTGAATTATTGTACTATGAATCTGGTTTTGAACCATTTTCAACCGCAGCAAGTTGACTATGTCCAATAGTACAGCACTGATACAGAGTGTTGTTTGCGCTTGACAGTCGGTACTGTTTGTATAAACTGTCACTATTGCTTATTGACCATCATATGCAGTCAATGGTCCGTATGTTTCGCACGGACTCATTCCAATAACAGTGAGAAACTTATCGTGTAAGCGAGCAGTGAAGTGTAGTATGTGGTCCATACGTTGTATAAGTACCATCATCCTGGTTTTACGGCCGTCACATACGATTCACGGTCCATTAGTAGATTTATTATATCTCTCAGTTAGTACGCTCTATGATTAGTCAACTTTCCTGTCCGTATTTTACAGTGTGGCCTACAAAATTTAAGAAACCCGGCATCGGCCTAACATCCGTTGACAAGAGTTGTTTTCTACGGTAAAAAATATCGAGGGGAAACGATCGGAGCTAACGGATCAACGTGTCTGGTTAGAATAGCTCCCTTCAAGGGAATTTTGCTTTCACTTTCACAGAAAAAACTCGATACGCCGCGAATCAAAAATCATTAACAATTTGTAAAACCTCCAATAAATCGGCAAATGCTTCATTTGAACTCTAACAATTGAGTTCAGGATTGTCGAAAGAGTACTTCTTCGTAAGAAAACTTCCTTACAGGCCTAGCTAAACTAGGAAACATTGTTTCTTGCCATATTTCCTGACAAAACTGGGAAACAGATGTTTCGGAAGCAAACTTTGTGTATGCTAAGCAAAAATGTTCTTGACCTAAGGCAAAAGCATTTTCTTTTGGCCGAGCAGCAAAATTTGTTTCCGCAACGTATATTTCCCGCTCCGCTAAACTGGGAAACATTTGCCTCCCTTACGAGAGAATCCAAGTTTGAGCAATTCAATGCATTATTACTATTTACGTTCATTACCGGAGTTCATAAAGCATCGGTCAAATGTTGGTGATAGTTAAAACTTGCACTCTCGTTTGGCCACGAACTGTTATGCAGTAACATCGACTATCATGAATTATTAAAAACTGAGTCATGGGATAATGCAGTTCTAGCGTTTTGATTGGCTTAGCCATCATGGTTTATAAGCTGTTATAGCATGCTTTCCCTATACGGTCAGTGAACACGTCAGTTCAAAATGGGAAGCAAGCGGAGAATTTTTTCGGGAAGGATGAAATGGCGCCCGAAGAAGATCGTTTTAATTCTTAAAATACTAGGAAATGCATTTTCTTCGGGAAAACAAAACGAACAAATAAAAAAGCCACAAGAGTTTGGTTGAAAGTTTATCGAAAAATACATGACACTAAAATACCTCAACCAGCTACGAAAGAAGACAAGTATTGTTTCTTCATGATCGCGAAGCCACTCGCCGATAGATAACTGGCTTCAGCCTGTTTATCCGACGTAAAAAGTATAAATCACAAGCAACTAGCTACAAATACGGGCTATGCGGCCATTCACTACAGCAATCCAGACGTCAATATAGCTTCTTCTTTCGTTTAGCAAAACCAGCTGACGGCTTCAAACAACTTCATAACAAGCTTTGCGTGAGTTTCTGAATGGCGACTTAGGCAATAGTTTTTCTCCGTTCCTCCTTTAGTAACTGCCTCAAAAGCCAAATTTACAGTAATTTCGACGGCTGCACTTCAAAATTATTTTGTTCTCATCACCGGCAAGGTTTTTAGCTGTCCTGCTGTGTACAATCCAAGAATGCCGTAGCCTGCGTAGCATGGCGGTTTTGGTTGGGCGAACTAAGTGATAAAGGCGGGCGAGGGCAGAGAAACCGCGAGCAGATTGGAGCGGGAGCAACTTGAAAAACCGCCTGCACGGACGGGGGGCTTTTTTGAGTCGGTCCGTACGCCAGCGTACGGATCGTTCCGATTGGTTCGGAATGTTCGCTTGTCAATCAAATATTTTGGTAATCTCCCATGGGAGAGTTTCGAGGGACTGAACAAAACATCTCCGCAAAACAAAATCAAAATATCAAAGAAGCGTTGACTGGAGCGTCGTCGATCTTGAATATTTGACGGGAAAACAGGGCAATTGTATTGAAGCCTAAACAGGAAATGGCCATTTACAGTCTTCTTCAAAGGAGAGATGTCATGGAAATTTTGTCAACAAGATTTGGCAGGAGCATGATCTTTACTGTTTTTGCTATGGCCAAAGAAGAAATATCGTCATCGAAAACCTGTATGATCACAATTTCCCCTCTAAAAAGTACTATCGACGACCAGATATCTGAAATGTTGTCGCTGAGCTGTACAGCAATGGACCTTATGACAGAAACAGTAAAATTCAGTGCTTCGAGAAAGTTCACCTCAATTTTCTCTATTACTCGGTGTTAGACAATAACGCACTCCAGCGCAATACTACGAACGTTGTCCGCGATTGTGGTCGATGAATCGCATATTGCAGTCTGTGGAACTCCATACTTCTCCATACTTTTTTGCTTGGTGTAGCTTAAGTTTAAGCCACAACTCAAATCTGAAGATCGCGCTATACGTAAAAATACAACATCCTGCAAACAACACTTAAAAAGCCGGGCACAGCGTCAAAACATTCACGAACAAAGAAACTACAAACCAAGGCTCCTTGGTTTGTAGTTGTCCAGATCTAGGCATTTTAGTCGGAAAAGACCAAGGAAACTAAAATATTTATTTAGCGGTAATAAAAAGCTTTAGGGTTTAAGAATGGTCAAAGAATTTAGTACTTTACAACTGCATCTGAGATCAACAAATTCTAATTAGCAACACTAACAATAACCACAGGAAATAATTACTCAATGCGGATTAAACAAACCAACTTCATGACCTATAAATAAATGTAAGACTTAGTGCAGCAGAAATAAGATCTACTCAGTCAAGTTTAGAGCGCAGTGTAGTCACCTATGCGCGAGATAGCTACCAAAAAAAAAACCTGTGTTTGTTCAAGCAAACTCCAATTCCGGCCAAGGTCACGTTTTACACAAAATCACGAGCTTTTGTGTCGTGTTTAGGCTGTCAACACTATATTTCTGATTGGCTGGGAAAACTGAAACCAAACAAGTTGTCAACAGGATGTCAAAATGAGTTGAAGGGGGCGGCAGTTGAAAAGGCCACGAATCCGGGCAGGCGGTTTTTATTTTTCTCGCGGCTTCGCCGCTCGTTCTCGCGCGCTTCGCGAGCGAATTTTTCGTGGATACGCCGCCCCTGCGCCCGGCTCGACAAAACCGCCATGCTACGCAGGCTAAGAATGCCGATGTATTTTTAAAAGTGTAATCATGTATTGATTTTTCATTCATCCAGTCTGTTCGCGCGATTACAGTTTTGATAGACGTGTGACACGTGAAAAGCGGAAGTACCTTGTCTTTTCCAGTTTGAACTAACAAAATAAAGTCGGGGGGATTCTTCGAGATTTTGTGGGCGTATTTAAGAAAACAATTATTCGACTCGCGCTTGTTGGATATGAGATTTTTATAGCCAACTCGTATCCAACCCAGCACTCGTGGAATAATTGTTAACTATCATTCACTTTTGCCTGATTAAATTATTCGTGATAGTCGATGATAGTTTGTACCATTTTACCACGCGCGCATGATAGTTGTTGACAGCTGATAGTTGGAGTTTTGAGCTATCACCGATTATCATGCGTCCTTTGACCATGCCTTAACTGGAGCATATAGTGTTAGATTACCAAGGTTGAGTAATACGTGAAAAGAATTTCTGTTAATATCCTTTGCTTTGGTGAAGTGTCACATGGAAATGTTTATGATACTATTACCATGACAGGATTTTCCTCTGAAGGATCCGTTGCTGCCGAGAGGTCCATATTTTCAAGCCGCTTCTCACAGGGATACGCCACAGCTGTTACTTTTTCGTATGTGTACCGCTACGCACTGTCAGGAACCCAGTCTGCATGCTCTTCGTTGGTACCAACCATCCAGACATCGCCACATGGCTATCAAATTTTTATTTACGATTGCATTGAGGATGTAATGCTTGCAAATAATTTCGTTTGGTCCCGGGAGTCGATTATATATCTATGGGCTTTTCTCCATCATCATTTGTTCTTTCCACCCATTCTGGATGTAAAACTGGCAAATGATATTCCTAAATTCGGCTATGATAAATCAGCTGGTTTTTATGCAAACCGCTCAAACCTTTTGTTTGGTTTGAGCTTAAATTCGCAGCATTGGAAAGAGGTCGACCCAGAGGAAGGCAGAATGCTGCGCCCACGCTGACATTTTAAGTGGCTTATGACCACTCGGGACTGTCCCTTCTGAGGTTTTTAGGGGTTAACTAAGATCACACACTAAAACACTACATGTCAGCTGGATGTTACATTGTGAAATCAAGCAAGGTAAGTTACCTTGCCTGATTTCACAATGTAAAAAGCAGCTGACCTGTATTGTTTTAGTGCGTTTGTGTGTGTGTGTGTGCGTGATATCTGACCGAAATGATTATAGATTATGATCACCTAAGTATGGCTGCCACTTTTGTTTAGCTCCTATGATTATTTGGGGCAGCCTGTACTCTTCGCCAGTATTTCCCTATACTGTTGGGTACAAATGTTGTTGTTGTTGTTGGTGTTGATGCCCTGGTCAGAGTCGAGTTGTGACAGCACGTCAGGGTATAACTCTACTGAAGCCTGATTCTCCTCTGAGAGTTTGAATTTTAAATGCTTTAGGATGTAAAAAAATTAAAATTGTAAAAAAAACCTGAAAGAAACTGAACGCTTGAAGGAGGCGATTGACGCGATATTGTGCCTGCTCGGCGTTTTTACTCGATATTTCAGTTTCAGTGAATAAAATATTGATCATAATCAGGAGGACATTCACCATAATTCTGTGGAAACTGAATGCAATTATCATGATTTTCGAGATTATATAATGTCTGAAATTTTTGTAGAACTTACGCAATTTAAATAAAACAGTTTAAAATTATATAGAAAATTGCAACAATCATTGTTGTACCCTTTCTTGTATTGAACTTCCCCGTGTTACTTCGTTTAGCCCTAAAACCCGGTCTTCAACTGGTTATTGTTTGCTTTCGTTTTGTAAACGCAAAATTGTAATATATCTTCTGCATGTCGTAGAAAACAGGAAAACGTGGCATTGGTTATATATCGTGGGGCCAAACCGTTCATGAGTTCAATATTGGAAGCCACACATCTCTATCTATGTTCACAACAGTATTTGCAGAAAGTCAGTTTGAGCCGCATGTGACGAAATCATTCGCTCATGAGCCTGAATGACTCACTAGATACTTTCTTTAGGACTCATGCAAAAATAACTTGTACAATGAGAACTCAGCCACTTGTAGCATCATGATAACTTTTAGGTCCCATTACAGCTTATTATGGACACTGATTTTGATTATCAAGAATGTACTGAGCAGTGGGTTTCATCAAAAGCCGCAAACCACAACCAAACTGGATCCAATGCCTTCCGGACCTTGGTGGTAACGAGGTTTGGTGTTTTTTATAACTGACCTCAATATCAAACTGATTTTTTGTAAATTTTTGCCTTAAGTGTTTTTTTGCCTTATTAAGAATAATTTCTATTAACAATAACTACTTTCACTAAATATAATGAACATTGAAGTGCTTTATTTAAAGATCTAAATGTTGTCAAGTTGTTTGACATTATCACCCTTCAACTTGCATTATTTATGTAAAACCTCAAGCTAATTGTTCTTAAAAGTTACTAAAAATTGTAAAGTATTTTAACACCATAATTCATCTGGCTTCCCGTTGCTTTCATTAAATTAAAATCCTTAACTTTCTTTATTTTCTTTGTTTTAGCGTTGATTGCGCATGGGCGCGTGTGTGTGTGTGTGTGTGGTATCTGACCGAAATAATTATAGACAAATCACCTAAGTATGGCTGCCACTTTTCTTTAGCTCCTGTGGTTATTTGGGGCACTGTCGCTCCTCTATATTTTTGTATACTGTTGGGTACAAAAAAAATTGTTGTTGTTGTGCCCTGGTCAGACTCGAGTTGTGACAGCACGTCAGAGTAAAACTCTACTGAAGCCTGATATTTCTCCTCTGTGAGTTTGAATTTTAAGTGCTTTAGGATGTAAGAAAATTTAAAATTGGAAACAAACCTGAAAGAAACCTAACGCTTGAAGGAGGCGATTGTCGCGATATTGTGCCTGCTCGGCGTTTTTACTACATATTTCAGTTTCTGTAAAATAAAATATTGATCATAATCAGGAGGACATTCACCATAATTCTGTGGAAACTGAATGCAATTATCGTGATTTTCGAGATTATATAATGGCAGGAATTTTATTAGAAATTACGCTATTTAAATAAAACAGTTTAAAATTATATAGAACAACTGCAACAATCATTGTTGTACCCTTCATCCATTTAATCTTCAGTTGGTTATTGCATTTTGTCGTCGACTTACGCAGCACAAAGGTTAACCACATAGCATAGCTAGAAAGTAACTTTTGCTTAAATATCTGTCAATGATAAAGAAAATAAAACAAACCTGTACTCACAGGAGTGTTGATGTGTCCACTGCAGTTGTGTGTGCTAGTTCATGGAAGCTCAGTTGAGGGGTGTGGCCTAGCTTTGCTTCAAGTAAGGAAATATATGGTATGACAACAGCGTTCGAAAATGAAACAATTCATCACCGGTTTTAAAATAAATGTGATAAATTTCCGGTTATGGTAAGGTTTTAAAAACTATAAATTATAAGGAATAGAAATTAAATTGTTGACGCAGAGTTGCGTATATGTCTACCGGAATGGCCGGAGAACGAGTGTTTTTGAAGCATAGGTTATGGAGGCATAGTATGTTTGAAGTAGGGATAAATATAGCATAGCATAGCATAGCATGACGTCAACGTTCGAAAACGAAACAACTGATCATTGTTTGACAGCCTATCAACATCACGTCAATTTACGTTACAGAAATTGTTTGGCCTTTCGGTTCGCAGAAGTTGCTTTTCTGGAGGAGAGGAGCGACCCCCCACTCCCCACCGGTCATGTATTTTTCTTTAATTTCAACGAGTGCCTTTATTAAAACGTGCGACACAAGTGTAGTTTTAAAACTACAATGTTTAAAAATACAAGCATGCTCGGTGGTTATTATTTCAGTTTCAAAACAGTTATCTAGTGGATCTATTAGGGTTGGGAGGCCCTCCGAACCCTTCTCCATGGGTCTGCCACTAAGCTAGAATAAAGCGATTTTCGTATGACCTTGAAAAATGGTTTCGGTAAGTGATCGTTATTTGTTTTATCAGCCAATGGATGAAAAGATCAAAACATGGACTCTTCGTTTTCCCGCCAAAAAATCCTAATATGGAGAAGGCATTGTTCGGTTGGCCAATCGTGTTGCAGTATGATGTCAAAGCGAAGTATTGATTGAGTTCTAGAAAGTTCTTCGGGCATGAAGTTATCGAATATTTGGCACAAATGCCCACCTACCCCTCCCCTAAGCCATCATTTTGCCCTAAGTAAGAAGTAAGTGTTAATGTTAGTATGGGGGAGGGGTAGGTGGGCAGTTTCCCAGAAACCTAAATTGATCCAGGATTTTTATGTTTCATGCGGATTCACGTGTAACATCACATACTTCAAGTCACGTTGCATCTTATCTCTTATGTAAGAAAATGCCATAAGTACAACCTAAGATAACAATAATTATTCCATGTAGAGTTTATCTCATATTTTGTCTGGGCGACGCCCAATCAGGTGACTAGGGCGGGCTGCGTTTTATAGACCCATTTGGCTATCGATCCCTTTAAGTTTTTACTTTCATGAAGTACTAGAGCAGTTAAAAAAATGAAATTTACACAAATTTTCACTTCGAAAAGGCTCTTCGTTTTGTGATACAGTACGCTTGAATTCTAAGCTTTTGCGTGACGCAGCATCTAGATGGCGGCCGACAGAGCTGTCATGTAGGTTAAAAAGTGACTTATTTTAAGGGATTTTGCTATTTAAACAGTCGTCATTTTATTAGGAAAGGTACTGCTTTAATGTTTATGAGTTCCTTGAGAGATGAATTTACCCTTTCATAGCAAAAATCAGTGACAGATGTTTCTGTTAGTTTCCGGTGGCCATGTTGGTGCCCATCCGGATGGGCACCAACATGCCGCCTTCACAGAAAGCGCTCTAAGCTGCTCTATTATTTTGGGTAAACAATATCTTAAAATGTTTCACGTGTGAAAAATCATTCTGACCTGAATCTTGGCGAGGGTCTTTCTATATCAACCTCATTCATTTCTCAGATTCTGGAATTTATCGTTTTATTTTTATTTTTGCTAGCGTGACTGTGAAAACCAACAATAAAACTAAACGGGTAAGCAGTGGAGTGAAGTTGGTCTGAAATCATACACGTGATTTTAAAACCAGATGAGTGCGCAGGGAGAGTTCGATTTGATATCACAAGCATGATTTCAGACCACAATTGCACGACACGAAGCTCACTTACCTCTTTAATTTATTACAGCCATTTTGAAATTTCAAGACTCAGTGAGTGCCAAAATTTAATTGATCCAGTTGGTGGTTAGTTGAAAGTAAAATCGTAACGCCTTAAAATCTCATTTTGTGTGCGAAACAGAAATGATGCGATTTCTTTCATTTTCATCTGGTATTAAGTTTACACAAGAGAGGATAAAGGGGACCGAGAAGGCATCCCTCCATATACGCCCTATTCAATAGGTAATTCGTCTCGAGTTATTTTTAGAATCGGGGTAAAGTTACCTCGCGCGCTGCGTGGATGTTTTGTGGAGGTTTTGCATGACTAAACGCCGTGCAAAACATGTCGGGCAAAAGACAATGTAAGCGTAAAGAGATCGAGAGCATTCCTGAATATTGAAGCGAACTGAGTCGGCGCTCACCTGGGAAAAAGGAATCGCTAGACTCTTTGACAACCCGTGAAATCAGTTTAACTCGAAGTTGTCGTAACCTCAGTGCTTTTAATTAATAAAATGAGAAATTTCGCCGGTCTATTGAAACCGGTCGTTTGTACAATAAAGCAAGTAGGACGCCAAGTGTTATTTTTGTTGAATAATAAAAGACTAATAAAAGAAGAAATATCAAACCAGAAATTGCTCTCTTCAAACTGTAAATAATAAATGATCCTGAGAGAATATCCAGTGTGTTAAGGATTTCCCTTCTGTACTGTTAGCTCTATACAAGAGAGGAAAGGCGATTCTTTTTTAATTTCCGTTTCGCTGACTCTGCTTTAGCAGAAATCTCTCTATAGTCGTTTTCGTCGACAAAACAAA